GTAGTTCCACGAGGGGTGCAACGGAAACCGTTTTCTAAGCATCTTTTGGATGCTCATGCATCCTACGGTCCATGTCATAATCAAAATGGAGGACGATTTTGCACTTCGCTATGTTCTCACCTTCAATGGTTCTCCGTCCCGGGCTTACGCCCGTTGGCTCGGGGATTATATAGCACGCTGCCTTGGCCGGATTATATAGCACTTAGCATATTCACACTGGGGTACATTTCACAGCATAACGTATACTGATTTAATGTATCATACTTTAGGCAAAAATTGATTCGCACTGGGGTAAATTTCACGTCATAAAGTATACTGATTTAATATATCATATTGTAGGCAAAAACTGATTCACAATGCATGGAGTACATTTCACATCATAAAGTATTTTGTATCATATTTTAGGCAAAAACTGCAAAGATATACAATGTTCACTGATATCTCATCTTGTGTTATACTAACGCCATATTGTTGAAATAGTCGTGCGAACCCAGACGTCACTACCGGCGCCCATTATAACGTCTGGGTTTGTAGATTATGTTACAATGGCTTATTAAATTAAATTAATTAAATTAAATTAAATAAAATATTATCTAGAAAATTAAGCATGGAAAGAATAATCTTCAAAACCGTTTTAAGAGTTCTACCGTTCACCATAGTATAGTTTTCATGTTATATACACTATATAATTCGAAAGTTACCATTATTGGTGATAGTCATTGACTGTAAACAATATCGTACAGTATGCCAAATTTCCTGTCTCCTCTTCTTTCTTCCATCTTCAATTCGGTAGAACCCAATTTTTTTACACTGCATGAAATCCGGCACAATATGCCAAAGCACTCCTTGATTCAGTAATATTATAAGGGCCTACCACAATATTAGGGAGCTTTAGATTTGACTACGAGTACGACTACGAGTACGAGATTTGATCGCGTGCTAGGAAATTACCGCAGTCGTTTTCGTTTCCATTCAAATGTTGCTTTTATAGCAGTAAACCAACAATGAGAGAAAAAGTGTCATAAACTAAATCTCCTGCAGACTAAAATCCCCTAAGAAACGTGTAAATAAGTCATAACATTAAAAACAGGCCAGATATTTATTACTAATATATTATTTGCGCCGGATAAACGCTATATAAATGCTACAAATTATTTTTGGAAAACAAAAAAAAGCCAACTTTCTTTGTTTTTTTGAAAAGTCGTAGTGAGGACTACGAGATTTCTCCACAATTTCGTACTGAGATGGGCGACGAGTACGACTTTTTCACGTCAGTACGGGATGGCGTAAGCATACAGCATGCGTTTCGCTTGACGAATCTCGTACTCGTAGTCGTACTCGTAGTCAAATCTAAAGCTCCCTATTATTGTGGGGACGGAATCCGCTATGCTATATATATTATAATGTTCAAATTGGCAATACATGGGATGTTTATCGCTTCAACATTTTCTCTCCATAACTATTTCACGAAGTTCGTGACTTAAAATGGCATTCTTCGATATTCGTCTTTGATCTTCTTTTTCACACTCTAGAAATTGGAAAATAATGAAACTTTTTGTAGTTATAAGAGGTTCACTGATTGCCAGTGGTGACAAGGAACGAGTAAATGTACTTCGTTACTGTATTTGGATATTATTTTTGAGAAGTGGGCATGTAACGACATTTTTGCCATTTAGGACGATTTCATTTCTTTCATAGTATTATTTATAATAGATATTTACATGAGAGCGGGACGAAAAATTGCTCAGACCGGTCTGACGTCATCCTGCTCGCTCTACCGAACCGACTATATCTACAGAGCGGGATGCCTGTAAACACAAATACATTTCAGACAGGTCTCGTCTTAAGGAGGCTCCCTATACAGTATAGCATGCTGGATGTTCGCGGGACCAGTACGTGGACCATCCCACGCAACCGCACGATCAAAACTTTAAAAAAGTGCTATTTATGAAAGGTTTCTAATGAAAGAAAGCGTTGAATAATCCTTCGTTTTGAGTGCCAAATCAATTGCGAGTCCATACAGGAATTCCGCATATGATACACATATGTAGCTAGCCAAAAAACTAGCTACGAAGCAATGTTTTTGATTTTTTTAAAAACATGCACTATATCAACTGTATAAAAATTTGCTAAATTGCACATAAACTTTTAATGAACGTTTAAAAAATTGTTTTAGAAATACTTTCGTGTTTCTACAAGATTAAAGTGATTATATGTAAACAGAAAAGATATTGCAATTTCATGGGCTTGTTCGTGTTTAGCAAAAGTGCAAAACCAAACAAAAGACGCGTCCACCTGTTAGGTTGTTACAGCTCATCGATTGAGTAAACGACAGGGTTCAATTAGCTTCAACCTTAGAGATTTTGTGTTTTTCATCGATTTGATCCTTCCCAATATTCCTTGGCACTCAAATAAATCGAAACGTTGACGAAAACAAAACAGTATAAACAACATTGCCACTCGATTTTGCTGGATGAAAGCTCGTTCTGCTAGTTTCGTCTGTGCTCTTGGCTTCGGAACAATGAATGTTCACAAAAATACTGTAAAAAGGGAAATAGCGGTCAAGGGGAATAAATTGAAAGATTTATATTTGTACCGGCCTCATGTGAACATACTGAAAATTTCGATTTTCATCCCGGTTTGACTTCTTCGTCCCGGTCTCATGTAAACGGGCCTTAGGCCTACATTTTTACAGAGCCCTTTTCAGAGGTATATAGTTTAATCTGTATAGGGAGGGCAGATTATTGTTGATTGGGCCTTCAAACCGCCTCCCCCTCTAAACTGCATGGCTTTAGAACAAAGTTTCGATGTTCTGGTTGGATTACATATAGTTGTGCAGGTATTATAAGAAACCACAGATTACATCACCATCTATACGTTATATAGAGACGAATGCGTCAAGTTGATACGTACTGTCTATAAATACCAAGACGGTTCAGAATAATCAGTATAACAAGATCGAAAAACTCAAGAAGTGTCAAGATACTGGCACCAAGGAATAAACCCATCAATCCACCGATTTCACCTGGAAAATTAAAGAAATGATAAAAATTTTGCTTTCCTTGAGAACATACCGCGTGGGGCACCGTTGGGAAATGAGTAGTGCTTTTTGTTTCCCCGCTAGCACGTCGTCCATTTTTAACGACTTTTCATACTGAAAATTATAGGTGCGTGTAGGATGCTTCTAGCGCTCTTCCGTTTTTCTATTAATAAAACCGTTTTTAAATGCCTAGCTCATGCACTAACGTTGCATTATAACCGACCGTGTTTTTATATGCTGATGTCGACTATCATGTTTCAAGCTATATATACTGTCACAACTATCCTTGAAAACAACATTTAGTTCAATAGTATATTTACCGAGTAAATTTGGCAAAGAATACGCTGGCACTTGTTTGATAATGTTATAGTTCAAATCTTCATAAAATATGTCAATTGCAAGTAAATTATTCCTGTAATAGAAGAAATTATTTTTATAGTTAGTACCAACAATTCGGATTAATTGGGATTAAGAATTTTATGTGTGGATCAATTTTGCATTATAATTATACTCTCGTTGTGGTGATTGGTTACTTGCGCAGTAAATTGGTTACTTGACGGTTTATATATATATATATATAAACTGATTAAATGGTACTCCCATTATGCTTTGCACGCTTAGAGTTTAAGGTTTAAGGTTTTTGATTTGAATTAGCTGTATATATATATATATATATATATATATATATATATATATATATATATATATATATATATATATATATATATATATATATATATA